TAAATCTGCTCGTGTCTTCAAGCTTAGTCCCTGAATTTGGACATTTAGTTTTTTCTGTCGTGTTTGTTTTTTCAGGGTTAGTATGGTTGAAGCTGATCTTTCAGCAGTTAACTATCAGATTCCATCCCCTAAGCACTACAGTCCAGCAAGAAATTAGAGAAATTACCAGTAAAAATGTAAGTCTTTGGAAAAATTCACATAGCTGGGAGCAGGTAAAATTTAACCTAAGTTCTAAAAACAGTAATACACCTAGTCCTTCTTTTGAGACTTCAGCCAGAAGAAGACATGAGCTATGGTCTGAATACATCACTTCTTCTCAATGGCCAAAATGTTGCTGGGGGGATGTAGTATTTGTTACAATAGCAGCATTTTCCCGTGTTTGTTGTGCACAGGATTAAACAAGGTAACTTGTAGCAGAGGTGGGACACAATTCAAACTGACACAGCTAACAGGGGAGTGGCTAGAGTGCTGAAGAGAAAAGAAAACCTGATTCATTGAAACTACATTCAAAGTCACTACAGCTACCCCCCCCCCTTGACAGATTCATCTGTCTGAAAGTGCCCTCTTCAGGGCTCAGAATGAAGTTTTGGGATTTTTCTGGGTATACTGTGTAAAAAGTGAATACCCTACTTAAGGGTATCCCAGTTGCCTTCTCAATACCTGATTTGCATCTTGATACTATTTTATTTGGTGTTAAAAACATGGTATTGATTTTTTTTTTTCAAAAGTTGTGATAGAATTCTAAGTGCTTTAGTTATTTCACCCCAGCCCACTCCCACCTCCCCAAAAAGGGAAGAAAGCTCCCTATGTGAAACAACTGACTGGCTTCTTTAATACAGTGAAAAGTAGCAGTGTTAATGCAGTAGAAGTTTGTAGTGCAAACAAAAGCTGTCCTTGGAGAAACACTTAAGTCCTGTAAATTTATTTGTTCAAAGGGAAAAAAAAAAAAAAAAAAAAAAAAAACTAGTTGCATTAGAGTTTATCAAACAGCATAAAACATACAAAAATATTTCTCTGGATGCATAGACTTACTCTTAATAGCAGTGTTTGTCAGTTCATGACTGAAGTTAACAGTTGTTCTTGGAAACTACAGCAAATGTAGCTGCTGCTATAGCTGAACTTTCAGTAAATAGTGGAGGCAGGCTCTTTTCCTGAACACAGGAACTGCAAAATCAAATACTTTCAATTTTGAGCCATTAACTAACAGATTTTTTTCTGAACAATTATTGCACATCATCGTAGGTAGCCATCAAACTATGCTGAAAGGCTAAATATGCAAGTGTTAAGCTAAAAGTCAGTCCCCTGTCCTCCAAGAAAAGAGGGTGGTGGAGCTATGGATTTTTATTTTATACTGTGTCATCGGCTCGAGCCCAGCTGGCATTAAATCACACTTACCCACTAAGGTACCGCCTCAATGAAGGGAGCGCAGCTACCCAGGGAATGCTGCAAGATTCCAACTAATAAAACTCCACTTTTGTGCTCTTACCTACCTTGAAGAGCAGCAGTGCAAGGGATGGCAGAGATGATGAGTCACACAGTGTAATATGGAACAAACGGGAAAGAATGATCTGAATTCTGAATCCCCTATGCAAAAATTTTGAGCTGAAGATGTAATTACTTAGTTTTGTTTGTATGTTTAGGGGAAATAGTTGGAGGCCCTCTGCACTACTTCTCTGGCTAAAATATTTGACACTATGTAGAAGTGAGAGTACCCACTGTGCAATGTCGAGTTACAGCTTATTTATTCTTTCAGGGGATGCAATACTAGATGCCCTTTCTCCTATTTTGTCAATGTTAATATGGCCAATTGAGAGCATATTGTGTTCCTTAGGTTTATGACACCTCAAACGTATACACGTCTATCCCTGGCCTGTTCTGGGTGAGGCTTGGCTATAGTGTTACCTACTTCCAGTACTGAGTTTCCATGCAAGCAAAGCAGCTTTCCTTCTCAACAAGCTGGGAAAAAAAAGAATGACCCACTCTGCTCTCCTCTCCCTTCCCTATCTCCTCAGCCAAAACCAAGCCACTTGCTTTTGAAATGGAATGTTAACTGCAGCATCATACAAGTGGAAGAGTAGGCTAGGGGCTGCTCTTCCCCATTTTCTTATGGAGGGGGAAGGATCCCACCATTTATGTTACTGTTACCGAGGAAAGCAACAGCTGCTCATAATGGCTGAGGACCATCTTATTGCACTACTCTTTATTTTAAGTGCAGGGCCAGACAGTGTCGCATGCTAAGGAGCTGTGCTTAGGGGGAACAGTAAGGCTATCTAGCCCTGTCCTGCAGTGTGGTGCAGGGCTGCTAGCTGACACCAGCACAAACCCAAGTGCAGTATTTTTCATATATGCTTCTCTCTAGCAGCAATACAGCCAGCTGTCCTGGCGCTGCAGGAAAATGAGACTTTTGTGTCCTTCCATGTACAGTGCTGGGGGGGGGGGGGGTTACCTGCACAGAGCCAGTGCAGGCCTCTGTGCCCAGGGCTCAAATAATAAGGAATCTCCATTGCACTTAACTCATTACTAGTGCACTTCCCTTCTGTGCCTATGTCTGAACTGTCTGAGACATGTCTCAAACAGAAAGAAAGTCACATTCTTCCCTAATGTAAACCTTCAGCTAGCCCCTCCTCTGTTCACATAACCCTGTGTTGTGGAAAAAGACACTGTATCTCACTAAAACTTTAGGAAGATCTTCAGGAACTGCTCCCTTTACCTTTTTAGAGAGCAACGGTTCACGATATGCCCCCATAAACCTCTAAAGTGCAACTTAAGGAGGAATTTTAAATAATACATAGGTTTTCCTGAATCTCTTTCCCAGAGTACTGTAACTTGGTTGAAGATTGCAAGGACTCAACATATGTTTCACACCAACAATTATGTTCTTCCTGCCCTCTCTTGCCAAGTACAACTAATAAACTTTATTGAACTGCATTGGAAGCATGTGATTTTAGTAGACAAATGAGGTATCCTTTATCTGAATACAGCATCAAGTAAAAAAATAAAAGCAAAGGGGATATTAAATATCAAAGATAAACTATTAGTTAAAATATTAACCCTAACAATAACTTAAGGTTTCACACACACACTTAATTCACTGCCTTCAACTGCAGTAGCATGTAATTACCAGGTGTTCATATTCTAGATTCATCTAGAAGAGTCAGTAAGTCAGCTTCGATGCTCTACTATTGTAGCATGGTCTTTCAGTGAGAGTCGATGCAGCATTTCTGAAAGGAGAGTTATCGCTTTTTGCAAGAACCAGTTCCAGTTCTTGAAAGTCCTGAAGTCTGGCAACATCCTTGTCCTTTTAAAGATGGAAAGGAGAAGAACAAATCACTTCTAAACACATCTACTGTTACTTCTTATTTAATTACAGTCAGTAAAGGAAGTAAAAGCTAAAACTAGACACTGTTCACATCCTATAATGGGAATAATTCCCAAAATCCTGTCAGTTTATACTCATTCTTCAAAGCACTGTGTTTCTATATGTCACTCTACTGACAGTAGTGACCAACAAATTTCATTTACAGGATTCCAGGTACATCTAAATCTGAGCAGCATGTTCTTTTCTTGATTGAGTGATTTTAAATTATTCACATGCCAATTTGTGAATTTTCTCCCCTTAGTATTTGTTCTTTTTAGACAAGCAAGCACTTAAACAATACATGCTGATTATGCCAAAAGCAGGGTAATGCATTGATTTTGATACATTAAAAACATCAATCTGGAATCATTTCATGTGCTTCAAGAGTTGAAATACTTTGACATTTGACAAAAGTATTTTGAAATACACTAAATGCCCAAGAAGAAAAAAATGATTCTGGGAATTTAAGTCAGGTTTGGTTTTTTTTTTTGTTTGTTTGTTTTGTGAGCGCAATGCTGTGTTCTGCTGATCTTTACAGAATTATCTTCTCTGATACCTACAAAACAACGCCAAATTAACCTGAGATTTGAAAAACTTACCTTTCTCACCAGCGTGTTGGGTAATTTCCTGATCTTCTCTACTTGTTCTGGATTAACACCCAATTCACAGCAACTTACTCTGAGCAGATCTTGATAGGTCAGTTCTTGTCTGTCTAATTCAATCTCAATGAAGTCAGTGTCTCTGAGATTCTGCACTCTTACCTTAAGCACAAGCTCTAATTGGAGAAAAAGAAGGGATTTTTTTTCCCCTTTCAAAGACAGACAAAAGACCTAAGGTTAAAGTACCTACAGTTCTCTTTTGAATTCAGGTTTTATAAATACAATACCCATTATCCCATGGAAATGAGCTGCACAATTAATGGAAGGGTTTATTTCAACAGCAGTCCGTGGTTGAGACAGAACAGAAATGTACAGGGGAAACATTCACAATGTTAAAAGTCTGATCCATCCAGTTCTCAAGTCAGGCCACTAACAAGCTATCAAGAGATGCACTTTTTACTAAGTATGTTCTGCAAAATTTGGATTTTATGTTTGCTTTGGCATAAAGACCAATTCTTCCATGGGGAGGAAAGAATAATTTTAGAAAAGCTTGCAAAGGGTACTATATTTAAGATGCCATATAACCAATTATTTTCCTTAGCAGAAAAAAAAAACCCATCAACATCTCTGCCTCCATTCCAAACCAATCTGCAAGCCAAACGATTCATTTTTAAATTCAACTTCCACTAGTAACCAAAACAGAGAATGACACATGACAGATGAGAAATCACCCTTCCTTACCTTGCATGCTATATGGGAAAGCTCCGGTAAAGAAGAAGGGTTGAAAGGCTGGTGCGGGGCCTGTAGGGGACCCGTTTGGTTGCTGCGGTACGGCCTGTTTCGATGTCACCGGAGCAAAGAGGCCTCTGCTGTGAGACAAGGATGGGTGACAAACGGGGCCGTTCTGCACGTTCGGTTTTACGCATTTGGGTGCTGGGGCAGTTGCCGGCGGGGTGGGCAGCTCCTCTGCAGCGCCTAAAGCAGGAAAGTCCTCTTCACCATTCAGCGATGTAGGTGTGCAAACGCTTTCAACCCGAGTTGCG